TGTTCTATTACTCTATTAGGACCGCATCTGAACTAACTACGTCTGCAAATAACCCACTGCCACATAGGTAGCATTCTGAAGTACTGGGGGCTAGTACATCAACATAAGAATTTGGGGTGCACATAATTCAACCCATGACAATGATTATCACGATCATTATTAAGAATATATAACTACTGTAGGAGGAAAGCAAATACGGTAAAATCCTACTCATAGGTTTGCGGGGATTAAATGGCATCAGTGGGAAATTGTCTGACACAAAGAAGGGCTTCAACAAATGCTGTTTTACTTCCTCACTACCAGCCTAAGTGCAGAACGTATTTGCTCATTGGCCCAAGAGACATGTACTGACTTCCAGTTTTATTCCAGTTTTATGTATGCATGCTGATATGTCATATGTGAATTTCGTACATATAAACATTAGTTTTGCCTTCTAATGTTATTTTGAAATCAACTTTCCCTTGTTAAAATGTTCTTTTTTTTTGAAACAGAGTCTTGTTCTGTTGTGAGGCGCCAGGCTGGAGTGCAGTGGCACGATCTCGGCTCACTGCAACCTCCACCTCCCTTGTTCAAGCAGTCCTCCTGCCTCAGCCTCCCAAGTAGTTGGGACTACAGGCACGCGCCACCACATCCAGCTAATTTTTGTATTTTTAGTAGAGACGGGGTTTCACCATGTTGACCAGGATGGTCTCAATCTCTTGGCCTTATGATCCGCCCGCCTCGGCCTTCCAAAGTGCTGGGATTACAGGCATAAGCCACCGTGCCCGGCCTTGTTCTTTTTAAATTATACAAAATAGCTGAATAATATTTTATAGTTAACACGCTCCAATTTACTTACCACGTTTTATAATTTGCTTACATTCAGATGGTGTCCCATTTTGCGTTCCGCCATGAAACAGCGCAACCACACACATCTGGCCCTGCCCTCCCTACTTCTAATGATTGACTACGCCTTACTCTATTTACTCCCTGTGAAATGTTTCCTCCTACTTTCATCTGCATTTCTTGAGAACTGGAAGGTAGAGGCCTCTTCCCTGTCACTGTTGACCATCTGTATTTCCTCTCACATGTGGCTTCTGTTCCTGTCTCTTGGCAGATTTATTCTAATCTGCCCTCAAATCTGTAAGAAGATTGGTCATTCTCTAGGGCTGGTCATTCAAATTCACTTAAATCTGGCATAAAAACTCCCAGGACAAATCTCCTGGCCTGGTGCTTAAATCTAACATAAACGCTTTAGGACAGGCTGGATCAAGCTGTGCCCTTGTGTGGGCACTCCCTGGACTGAATGTCTGATCATCTTCTATGTAAATTCTTTCCCACAATTGACAAATAGGAAGCAGGAGAGGAGAGAGGTAGGAGGGGCAAGCCTCCACAGCTGTCTGGGGAGTCGGCAAAAAGGAGACAGAATCTTTAGCGACTTCACGTGTGTAACAATATGCCTCTGTTTTGTTTTATTTTGTTTCTTTCTTAGGTGACGCTGTTGAGTTATCAAATGAAGTGGTGTATAAAAATGTGAACTAAGCAGCTTCTCTCCGTTTCTTCCTGATGACATAACTCTAAGAAGCATGGCCAGACTCATGGCTCAGTGGCATCTCTACACGGCCACATCTGAGAAAGCCAGGGATGGCTGGCCTCATCATACCCCAAGCACAAGGCCTCATCCACGCAGCCCTGCTGGTGTGATTGCAGCAGCCTGGGCAAGCTCTCTGGAGTTTTATTTGGTGGGCTTTTGTATTCTCTAGCTCACCCTCCAAATGGGAATTACCAGGAAAGTCACCAGCTGAAGCAGGCATAGAAGACCTGGGCCCATTTGCCCATTTGCTCCTTGCACAGAGTTTAGGAAGGGACACATCCTGCAGGAAACACAGCCTGGCTTCTCAAATAAATGCACTCCAAAGAAGGGAGGCGGGGAGAAGGGGAGAAGGTCAGAGCAGTGGGTTGTGAGGCAAAGAGAAAGAAACGGAGAAAGGGGGACACCTGCTAGGTAAAGGAGATTGAAAACAACGCACTGCAATAGGTAATTTAGCTTCTAATTCAAAGAAACTGCTAAAAACGATTATGATATTTATGAGGCAACTGGAAATATAAGCATGAACTGGATATTTGATGATACTGAGGAAATTGTTCCACATTATTTTAGATGTAGCAGTGGTATTATGGTTGTATTTTTTTTCAACTTTTATTTTAGATTCAGGGGGTACGTGTGCAGATTTGTCATCTGGGTGTATTGCATGTTGCTGAGGTTGGGTACAAATGATCCCATTACCTGGGTATTGAGTGCAGTATCTAATTGTTGGTTTTTCAGTTTGACCCCCTGCCTACCCCTGGCCTCTAGCAGTCCCCAGTGTCCCCAGTAGCTTCCTTATGTCCATGAGCACCCAATGCTTAGCTTCCACTTGTAAGTGAGAACTATTGACTTTCTGTTTCTGCCTTAATTTACTTAGGACAAGGGCCTCCAGCTGCATCTAAATTGCTGTAAAGGACATTATTTTTTTATGACTGCATGGTATTTCATGGTATATTTGTACCACATTTCCTTCCTTCCTTTTCTTTCTTTTTTTTTTTTTTTGGTGATATGGTGTCTCGCTCTGTCACTCAGGCTGGAGTAAAATGGCAAGATCTCTGCTCACTGCAACCTCCACCTCCCTAGTTCGAGTGATATTCCTACCTCAGCCTCCCAAGTAGCCGGGATTACAGGCGCCTGTCACTACACCCAAACAGTTTCTTTATTTTTAGTAGAGACAGGGTTTTACTATGTTAGGCTGGTCTTGAACTCCTGACCTCAGGTGATCCGCCCACCTCTGTCTCCCAAAGTGCTGGATTACAGGCATGAGCCACCGCGCCCGGCCTGTACCACATTTTCTTTATCCAGTCAATATGATTATATTTTTTAAGATGACTTCTTATATTTTAGTGGTACATAGCAAAACGTTTCCTGTATGAAGTGATGTGATGGTGAGACCGTAAAGAAACCACTTGGATATAAGTTTGTATTTATTTAAGCAGTGATCTAGAGATTTCATTGGGGAACTCACCCCATAAATGTTAAGATAAGAAGACCTTTTCTCTGAACTCATTCAGTATCTAAAGAGAAAAGTTTCTCCAAGATTTTATCAACAGTGGGTTGAGGAGCAGGCCACCTGCCCTGGGGGTGACGCAGAATTGATGGGGGCTGGGGGCTGCACCCCACCCTTCAGCTTCAAGATGTCATATAAACTTTACTGGTGAAGCCCTGGGTCACACCTTGCCTTCTGCTGCACCTGGAGTAGCTAAGTCAGGGAATCTTTGGTTCCAATTTCTCTCAGTAATGTAGGTCTGCATGGGGAAGGCAGGCTCATGCAGGCATGGGGAAGACATGGCCTGAACATTGATGCTGAGGTTTGAGGCACAAATGATCCCATCACCTGGGTACTGAGAGCAGCATTTAACAGTTAGTTTTTGAATACTTGCCCTCCTGCTTCCATGCCTGATAGTGTCACCCACTCCTTTCCAGCACCTCCGACCCAAGCCTTGTGCATGTGCTAATACCTCACTCCACTCTGGGTTGGGTAATCCTTCCTGTACACAGGAAAGAACAAGTGAGAATGGCGGCTCAGGTCTAGGTAGGATGCGGGCAGCCTGCAGCGCTCCTCCTGAAGGCTTGACTCAGTCACACATTCTCATCTGCCCGTTTGTCAACAAACAGGGATCTACTCTGCCCACAGTGCTCGTGGATGCAGAAAACCAGGTCCCTGCTGTCCATGAGCTTTGCCCTGGTTAGACAGTGTGAAGGTATCAAATGACTGAAAACAACTAGCATCCAATAGTGAGGATAAAACTGAAAACATCGATGTGAATTACAGTCAACCCAAGTTTGTAGTCTATGTATGTAAAGTTTGAACAAAACCAACCTAGCCTGATAAAGTCAAGTCAGAGGTTGCCCTGGTAGGGTCAGGGAAGGCGGCTGGCTGGGCACACACATGAGGGACTTTCTGGAGAGGTGGAATGTTCTAGATTTTGATTTTGGCAAACCATTATATTTTCTGTCAAACCTCGCTAAACTAGAGGAAGTGACACTTCTCTGAGAGTACCTTGTATATGATCATGATTTCTGAGATCATGTCAATGTTTTATGTGTTTGAGAAACAAAATTAAATCAAAAGGGCAGGGAAAATCCTTCTGCAAATGGCAGCATGGAAATACCGCTCTGTCACATACACAGGAAATTGATTGGTGGCAATAATTCGATGTCTAAACCAGGGGTTCTTGTCATGGTCTAAGGATGTATTATGACAGAGGCCTCAAAACGTCCCAAAACAAGATGCAAAATGGACTTCATATATTGATTTTCTAGGAGAGGACCCCACTGTTCCATCAGATTCTCAAAATGGTTCCTGACCCAGTAGATTTAGAAACCACTCTTCCAAAAAAAAAAAAATATATATATATATATATAGATATAGATATAGTCTCATGAGTTAATGCTGGAGTATGCAGGAAGGATAGAGCCCTGTGCCTCTTTCCTTGGGGAACCACAGTTTTCCTGAAAGCTTCCAGAAAGTTGAGAGACTGACGTTTGCTTCTCTTGCTCTGCTGCTGCCTGCAGGGTGAATGAATAAATAGGGAAGACACTGCCTACCAGAGCTTTGAGGGTGGAGTATATAGCAAAAGATAAGAAGATTCCCTTAAAAAATGAAAATAGAACTACTGCTATTATGATTGCACTAATTTGCATTCTCACCCGGAATATAAAAGGGTTACCCCTTTCTGTACATCCTCACCAGCAGTTATTATGGATTGTCTTTTTGATAGTGGCTATTCTAACTGGCATGAGACAATATCTCATTGTAGTTTCAATTTACATTTCTCCTATGATTAGTCACGTTGAGCATTTTTTCATATACCACAGTTGGTCCTTTGTATGTTTTCCTTTGAGAAATGTTGCTCATCTTTAAATTGGGCTATTTAGGCTTTTCAATTTGTTTTGTTTTGTTTTTGATATTGAGTTGTTTGAGTTCCTTATATAGTTTAGATATTGACCTCTTGTCAGATGCATAGGTTGCCCGTATTTTCTTTCATTGTGTAGGTTGTATTTTCACTCTGTTGATTGTTTCCTTTGCTATGCAGAAGCTTTTTAGTTGGAGGTGAACTCATTTGTCTATGTTTGCTTTTATTGTCTGTGTTGGTCTTCTCCCAAAAAATCCTTGCTCAAATCAATCTCATAAAGTATTTCCTCTATGCTTTCTTCTAGGAATTTTATAGTTTCAGGTCTTACATTTAAGTTTTTAATTCATTTTGAGTTCATTTTTGTTGATTTTATATATAATGACAGATAAAGATCCAGTTTCATTCTTCTGCATCGGACACCCAGTTTTACCAACACCGTTGTGTGTTCCTGTGCAACTTTGTCAAAAATTAGTTGGCTATAAGTGTATAGATTTATTGCTGTGTTCTTTTTCGTGTCCCATTAGTCTCTGCCTAATTTTGTGCCAGTAGCATGCCGATTTGGTTATTATAGCTTCATAGTGTACTTTGAAGTCAAGCAGTGTGATGCCTTACAGCTTTGTGCTTTTTGATCAAGATTGCTTTAACTGTTGAAGGTCTTTTATGATTTCATAATTGTTTTTTCTATTTCTGTGAAGAATATCATTGATACTTTCATACAGATGGCATTAAATCTACATATACATTTTTAATAGTATAGATATTTCAACAATATTAATTTTTTGAATTAACAGGAAATTTCCTTTTCATTTATTTATGTCTTCTTAAATTAGTTTCACCAATGTTTAATAGTTTTTATTGCAGAGATATTTCACCTCTTGCTTAAATTTATTTCTTGGTATTTTTGGAGCTATTGTAAATGGAATTTTTTCTATATTTCTTTTTCAGGTAGTTTGCTAATGACTTTTGTATGTTGATTTTTATAATCTGCAACTTTACTAAGTTGGTTTATTAGTTACAGCTATTTAGTGAAGTGTTTAGGATTTTTTTTTTTTTTTTTTTTTTTGGGATGGTGTTTCTTTTTTTTTTCCCAGGCTGGAGTGCAATGGCGTGATCTCGGCTCACCGCAACCTCCGCCTCCTGCGTTCAGGCAATTCTCCTGCCTCAGCCTCCTGAGTAGCTGGGATTACAGGCACGCGCCACCACGCCCAGCTAATTTTTTGTATTTTTAGTAGAGACGAGGTTTCACCGTGTTGACCAGGATGGTCTCGATCTCTTGACCTCGTGATCCACCCGCCTCGACCTCCCAAAGTGCTGGGATTACAGGCTTGAACCACCACACCCGGCCCAGGATTTTCTATCTACAAGCTCATGTTATCAATAAACAGGAACAATTTAACTTTATTCTTTTTCATTTGGATACCTTTTATTTATTTCTCTTTCCTATTTGCTCTGGCTAGTACTTTCAGTACTTTGTTGAATAAAAGTGTAAAAGTGGGCATCCTTGTCTTTTTCCTGATCCCGGTGAAACAGCTTTCAACTTTTTGTCTTCCAGAATGATCCTAGCTGTACATTTTTCACATATAACAAAGCCTTTACTGTGTTGAGGTACATGCCTCCTATGCCTAATTTGTTGAGAGTTTTTTTTTTTATCATAAAGGGGACGTTGATTTTTGTCAAATGCTTTTTCTGCACCTATTTAAATAATCATATGGTTTTCATCCTTCATTCTGTTAATGTGATGTATTATGTGTGTCAATTTGGGTATATTGAACTGCCGTTGCATTCCTAGGAAGAATCCCACTTGATTCTGCTGAATGACCTTTGTATCGTGCTATTGAATTTGGTTTTCTACTATTTTGTTCAGCATTTTTTGCACCTATTTTTTTCAGGGATACTGGCTCATAGTTTATTTTTTTGTTGTATCCTTGTCTGGTTTTGCTATCAGGGTAATTCTTGCCTTATAAAATTAGTTTGAAATAATTTCCTTTTGTTCAAGTCTTAGACTCATTTTTAAAAGTTGATATTAATTCTTCTTTAAATGTTTGGTGGAATCCAGCAGTGAAGCCATCAGCTCCTTTTCTTTGATGGAAGATGTTTTATTATTGATTCAGTCTCTTCTGTCATTAGTGGTCTATTTAGTCCATTGGACTATTTCTTCATAGTTCAATCTCGGTAGGTTGCATGCATCCTTTTCTTACACACTTTATAATATCAAACAGAATGCAGATTGAGACGTGCATTTGTTTCACATCCCTATACTGATGTTGAAATTTCATTGAGGTAGTTTCTCTCCGATGTTCCCTTCTTTCTGCTTTCCTCCTCTGGTTTCTTGGCACCATCCTTTCACACTAATGACACTGTAGTTATTCCTTTACTGGGCTCTAGGTTTTCTCTTCTCCAGAGAATTCCTCTCACGCTGCCTCTGCTTGGGTTGCCTTTCACCTCAACTCATCCTTCTTTGTTGAAATCTCACCACCATTCAACGCAGAGCTCATGTTCCTTGCCTATCTGCCTTGGCTCCCTAGCTCTTCCTTGAGTCCGAAGCATGTGTGATCAATGGTTTGCAGAAGTGGCCCCAAAACTCCTCCCAAGCATATATCCACACCTGTTTACAATCTGACTCAATTTCCATCAAGAGGTAGAGTCTATTTGATGCCTCTTGAATTCAGATTGGACAAATGCTTTGGCCAAAGAGACATTAGAAAATATGGCACAGTGGAGACTTGAAAGTGCTTCTTCTTTGGATCTTGACCACTTTTGATGTTCAAGATATTTCCGCCTCCAAGAAAATGGGACTGGGTTGTTCTGCTGAAGGAAGACAGTCACAAGGCTATTGCTCAGATAACACCAGGCTGACAACCAGGCATGTGAGTGAGATCATATGAGATAACCCAGTTTCAGCTGAGCTGATCCAGAGCAAAACAGCTGTCCAGGAACCAAGGGAACCTGACAGATAAGTAATGTTTGTTGCTTTAAATCTCTATATTCGAGTTGGTTTCTTATCCAGCAAAAACTGCCTGATATGACACCTTCACAACTCCTTTGTATATTCCAGCTTAATTGTAACATCCTTGAGCACAGAGCTACATGGGCTGACATCCTCTGAAGCTCCCTCAGGACTCAGCATTCTGCCTCACTCATTTAAGGAGCAGAGGACATGTTTGTTGATTGACAATCTTGTCTGAAGTTTCCACTGTGCTTCAAGGATCAGTTAGTAATTTAATTCCTTTAAAGGCCAGCTTAGGTCCCCAAACACCAGCTAAAAACAAACCTGCTACATCACATCTTCTTGAAAAAAAGCCTAACAGATCATAAGCTTTGAAATCAACTGTAGGATCTATGGAGGGACATTTTGCTAGGGTTTCAAAGACATAGGCATTAATATAACCTCCCCTTTCAGACTCAGATCCTCTCTGATTTCCCCGTCAGTTCCTGCAGAGAATTTGATGTCAAAGGGAATGGAAGAGGCCGCTAGTTCAAATGAATTAAGTTGGGGATGATTAGAAATTGAATCTCAGCTGACAAAATGGAGAAGTAAAATTTCTCTGAAAATATTATTTCCATAGTTAAAAGGAATTTACATAGATATGAATGACATTCTGTCACTTAAAAATGATCCCACAAAAATATACATAAAATTTTCACCTCGAGGCTGAAAATGAGAAAGTTGGACTATATCATGAGTAAGAGCTTATAAATATATAATGCTGCATAGAGAGTTCTGACATCCTGAGATGCTGTCCACCTTTCCCTAATAAGAGCCATGGATTTCTACAGGATCATGTAAAGTAAAAGGTTATTTTGAACATTCTAAATTAGTTTCTGAAAAAGAGGGCAGGATTTCTCTCTTGTGTCCCTTGAGTTCCTACAATGTAGTTATTAAGACAAATACTAGCCATTATGATGTTTATTCTCACTCACGTAAAGTCCAAAATGAACCATCAAAATAGGTGGTGGAGGTTGGGGTTGGGTACAGAAAAGTGCTGTCCACACAGTGGCTCAGTCATCTTCAGCATGTAACTTCTGTGGCCACCCTGAGTGTCAATACAATCAACAGAGGAAGACAGAAAGGGTTATGCATCAGAGAGTTTTATGCAGCCGGCCTAGAAAGTAGTGTACACCTGTGTGCCCATATTTAATTGGTGGAACTCAGTCACATGATCACATATAACTGGAAGGGAGGCTAAAAATGTAGTCAGCCTCCCACAGATTGCCACCAATAAATGATATCGCCCCCATAATAAGAGCATCCCATAGATCATATCACATAGAGACTTGGAGATTCAGTGACATCCAGCCAATACAGAGTTTTAGCAGGAGGTGTGATTGCATGCCAAAGTCATTTCTCATACAAAACCAATAAACAAATTTTGTCAAAAATACTAGTTTATAATATATTATATTCCTAGGACAATGATAACATCTACGAATCATAAAAGAAAAAATATACCACAGTGTCTACCCATTGGGAGCTTATAGTCAAATTGAACACATTTGACATATTCACCGAAAGATTTGTAAATAAAGTTGCATCAGTTTCTAAGTATGTTGCCCTGTCACAGATACGTGCATATTTATAAATTTTTCTAACATAGTTTTCCAGAACATAAGACAGTACAAAGAGTTTAGAGATAGAACAGATCCTGCCATCGTTTGAATGTCCCCCCCAAAACTCACATTGAAATTTTATTGCCACTGTGACAATATTAAGAAGTAGGACCTTTAAAAGATGATTAACATTATTATGGGAGTGAGTTAGTTATCATGGGAGCGGGCTCCTGATAAGCAGACACACATGGCCCCCATGTTCTCTCTCTGTGTTGCACACTTCCTTGCCATGCACAGCCATCTGCATTGGCATGACCCTGGCCAGATGCTGATGCCATGCTCTTGGACTTTCCAGCCTCCAGAACCATGAGCCAAATAAACTCTGGTTTTTTAATAAGTTACTCGGTCTGTGGCATTCTGTTATAGCAGCAGAAAATAGATGAAGAAAGAAAATGGTACCAAGAAGTGAGGTTTTTGCTATAACAAATACCTGAAAATGTGGAAGCAGCTTTGAAACTGGGTAATGGACAGAGGCTGAAAATAGCTGTGAAAGGTATGGACAGATTTTGGTGTCTGGTTAGGAAAAGCCTAGATTACTGTGAACATGTTAAGGACAATTCTAATGAAGGCTCAGAAGAAAAGGATAGCTGTAGGGGAAATCTGAATCTTCTTAGAGATTACTTATCTGTTTGTGACCAGAACATTGGTCAAGCCCATTCTGATGAGGACCCAGATGAAACTGAGGAACAAAGTATTGGAAACTGAAGTAAAAGAAAATCCTTGTTGTAAAGTAGCAAAAGCCCTGGCTGAATTGGGTGCTGGCCTGAGGGTTTTGTGGAATGCAAAACTTAAAGAGTAACGAACTAGGATATCTGGCAAAAAATAAAATAAAATAAAATAAGTAGCAAAGCAGTCAAGCAGCTTTGTGGCTACTTTTGACTGCATACAGTAAGAGGGGAGTGAAGAAAACTTATTTAAAGAGAGAATTTATAATTAAAAGGCAAGTAAATGGGAAATACAGAAAATGTTCAGCCATGTAAATAGCGTAAAGATGTCTTCAGGAGAACGAACCTAGGGTATGGTCAAGTGATTATCCGCTAAAGAGATTATTATGGGTAGAAGGGAGGCAAGTGCTATTCATCAAGACCGTGGGAGAAAGGCCCCAAAGGCATTTTAGTCATCTTTTGAGGCTGCCTTTCCTGTCATAGGCCCAGAGCCCAAGAGAGGAAAAGTGGTTTCAGGAGATGAACCTGGGGCACCTTTGTTGGGCTCTCTGCCCATGGTCACTTGGAGACTCTGCTCCTCACATTCCAGCACAGCACTCCTTGACATCTCAAGCCACGGTTCAAGTGCGCCCAGGTGTGACTCGACTAGGTGCAAGTAGATACAAGTAGTTCACTTTGGCAGTGTCTGTGTGACATTAATTCTGCAGGCTCACAGCATGCAGGAGCTATGGAACCACAACTTCCTCCACCTACAATTTGAAGAGTGCCATGGGCTGCTTGGGGACCCAGGCAGAGACCTGCTGCAGAGGCAGAGCCATCTGCTAGGGTCATGCCAAGTGGATCCATGGAAGTGGGGCTACCCAAAATACCCCAGAAGCATAGGGCCACCAGCATGCAACTCCAGCCTAGAAAAGCTGCAGGCATGAGATTCCAACCCAACAAAGCCATAGAGGTCAAGCTCCCTAAGGTTTTGGGGGCCTAACCCCTGCCCCAGTGTGCCCAGAATATAGAACATGAAGTATAGGAGATTATTCTCCAACTTGAGCACTTAAAGTTGTTTTCCCTGTTGGGTTTTGAATTTACTTGAGACCAGTTGTTCCTTTCTTCTTGCCATTTCTCTCTTTTGAAATGAGGATGTCTAACCTATGCCTGTCCCTTTATTGTATTTTAGAAGCAGATAACTTGTTTTAATTGTATGGGTTCACAGCTGGAGGGAAAGTTGCCAAAAGTTTAATCATGCCTTGAGCCTTGCTGATGTGGATGAGGTTTTGGAGTCTGGACTGTTGAGTCAATGCTGGAACACATAGGACTTTAGGGGCTCTTGGGATGACATAAATGCATTTTGTATGTAAGGAAGCCATGGGTTTGCGGGGGCCGAGATGGAATACTATGGCTTGAATGTCCCCTCCAATACTCATGTTGAAACTTCATTGCCATTGCAATGATATTAAAAAGTAGGACCCTTAAGAGGTGGTTATCTCATGAGGGTTCTGCCTTCATTAATGAATTGATGTCATTATCCTGGGGGAGTAGGTTAGTTGCTGTGAGAGTGAGTTCCTGCTAAAAGGATAAGTTCCACTGGGCATGGTGTCTCATGACTGTGATCCCAGCTTTGGGAGGTAGAGGCAGGAGGATCGCTTGAGGCCAGGAGTTTGAGGCTGCAGTGACTTGTGATGGTGCCACTTCACTCCAGGCTGGGAAACAGAGTGACACCTCATCGTAAAAAAGAAAAAAAAAAAAAGTTTGGCCCCAATTTTTTCTCTTTGTCTTGTGTTCTCAATTGCCACGTGAAGCCTTCCACCACGGGATGACCCTCACCGGATGTTAGCACCGTGTCTTGGACTTCCCAGCCTCCACAACTATGAGCTGAATAAACTTCTATTTTTTATAAATCACCCAGTCTGTGATACTATGTTAACACAGCAGAAAACAAACTAAGAAAGATGCTTAGATGCTAATTTATACCTCATGGTAGCCTGTGAAAAGGTGTGTGAAAATGAAAACAATATCATGAGTCATTAGAAAAGTTCATGGAGAAAATATGACAAGCTGGGCTTCAAAGAATGGATAATTTGTGGGTATTTTGGAACAGAAATCAGTTATCAGGGCTGTAAGCGCGGGATGTGTGCTAGCCTGGCAGCACAAAGATTCCTCCTGAGACTCCTTTGAAAAGTGTGTAATTCAAGTATGATGAGCCTGCTGTGTGCAGCACTGAGGTTAATCAGGGGCCGGCAGCAGGCAAACCAGACCTGGGTCTCCCTCACAGACCGCACAGGTACATGCAGTGCAGGAAGACACTGACTTTGCCTGGGGCCAGACAGTGAGACTTTCCTGAAAACGTAGCATACCTGTAACCTGCAGGCTACATAGTCGTTCCTGAGAAAATCGGGTCCATTTCATTCTCGGATAGTAGGGAGCTATAGCAGGTTCTTGAGAATCAAAATATCACAATGTAGAAGTTTTCATTTATGTTCTTAAGAAGTGCATCCAGTGAAGGGGAGAAATAGCAAAGGGATGAATCTTGAAACGTATCTTAAATTGGTCACTAAGAAAATTAGGGAAGGCACCTTGAACGTTAGGAGAACCAGTCACTGCTGTGATGTGGTCACAAAGGCCCTTAGAATGCCCCCCTTTCCTCCCACAAAATATGCTTCTCCTTGAAGAGACTCAAAGTCAGTGAAAGTCTTTTTTTTTCTGGAAGGAGCGGGTCCCAGGTGTGACGCTCTGAAAAGTCTCCAGCCAGGTCTGGCTTTGAGAGGAAGCTGAGAGGCAATCTGCATCTCCATGGCACACCGAGCAGCATGGAACCTGGACACTTCCTGAGGGGCTGAATACACATCCTCAGCCCGGTGTCTCTCCCTTCAGAAGGACTGTTTGCCCACCTGAGCCCAGTCAGGCCACCCATTCCCCACTGCTTCGCAGGAGGAGCTGAGGACAGCTGCACTCAAAGTGAAGCCAGGAAGCTCCTCGCAGTCCCGCCAGGGGGCTTTGCATCACAAGGGGGACAGTATTTCCTTGACTAGGAAGGCTGTGTTTGTCTGAGACCCCAGGGAGCTGATGAGGTGATACTATGGGACCTCAGTGCCTCTGGGCCGTGCTGCAGGGCTGCCGGAGGATGGCCAAAGCCCAGCAAGGCAACACTAAGGGACCCGGCCTGGCCACAGGGGGAAAGAACTGCTGTTGGTAGGAAATCTGCTGATGTGTCCTGCTGATTCCTTGTAAAAGGTACAAATTAGAGGTCTGCCCCCAGCACCAAAGCCAGAGGCAGTTCACATGCTGGAAGCTGTTCCCCTGGGAAACCGTGTCTTTCTTTTTCAACGAGATGAGCCTGCTGCCTGTGGGAGTGCAGCGGGAATGCAGCGGCTTGGGGTGTCCTGGTGTTTGGGAATAGGTTCTTTGCACACGGCTCTGTTCCTCCCTAATCAGGGGTGATGGGGAGGGAGGATTTGCCTTTTCTGAAATCAATCTAGAAATTGTCAGCAACAGACAAGATCACAAACACCACAGCAGTCTGCACTTGACGCACTGAGATGGGAAAGGGACAGAAGCCAGACACAAAGTGAGGGTGTTGCCAACAGCAAACATGGGAGTTTCACAGGGAGTACAACTTAATGGTGAAAGGAGGAGGTGTGCGGGGGCTGCAGGCTTGCTCTGGGTGGGCACCCGCCCACTGGAGCTAGAGGACGGCACTCTCCTGGCCCCGCTCCTGTGCTAACTGGTCTTAGAAGCCCGTACTTCTGAGCAGTGCTCAGCAGAGATCCTCAGATCACAATCCTGGGAGTGCCATGTGCAAGCTGACCTTGGCTCTCACTTTAAAGTGAAAATAAGCCAGGCACAAAAAGACAACTGTTACAAATTCTCACTTATATGTGGGGGCTAAAAAATTTCAACACGTGGAAGTTGAGAGTGGAAAAATTGATAACAGGAGGGGAAGGGCAGGTGCGGGCAAGGAGAGGATGCTGAGAAGTGACATAAAGGATGCGCACATGCAGGAAGATAGGAGGAAGATACCAGAGTAGGATGACTATGCTTAGAAAATATATTGTGGCCAGGCGCGGTGGCTCACGCCTGTAATCTCAGCACCTTGGGAGGCCGAGGTGGGTGGATCATTTGAAGTCAGGAGTTCGAGACCAACCTGACTAACATGCTGAAACACCGTCTCTACTAAAAGTACAAAAACGTAGCCAGGCATGGTGGCAGGCGCCTGTCATCCCAGCTACTTGGGAGGCTGAGGTAGGAGAATCGCTTGAACCTGGGAGGTGGAGGTCGCAGTGAGCTGAGATTGGGCCACTGCACTCCAGCCTGGGTAACAAGAGCAAAACTTTGTCTAAAAAAAAAAAAAGAATTTTAGTTCAAAGAAACTATGAAGAGTTTTTCTCACACATCTTTCTGGGAAGTTTTGTTTTGTTTTGTTTCTAATCAGTTAACATTATCTTTCTGGTAATTTTTGGGAAAGTCTGGTGTCACTGATGCCTCTTGACATCCATTGAGACTTATTTCTCAAACTCCTACGCTCCGGTGATCCACCCACTTCGGCCTCCCAAAGTGCTGAGATCACAGGGATGAGCCACCGTACCTGGCCAAGGAGTCTTGTTTCTGACGATTACGAGGTGTTAGGAGGGAATATGGTGCACTGCGTCTAGAGAAACAGACTAAAGCCTCCAGAGAAACAGACAGAAAGACAGATAGTTAGACCTGAAAAGAGGGCAGCAAGAGAATCATCAGTCTGCTTTCTGCAGACACCTTTTCCAATGAAGTCCAGAGGTCTGTCCACACGAATTCAATCGTCAGTGGAAGGACAGGACTAGCAGCCACCTCTCTTGGTGCTGCGATTGTTGTCCTTTTGGTCCAGAGCAGACACTGGGGGTGAATCTGGTAACATGAACCACAGAGTTGATTCTGTGGACTCTGAAACCTCAGTCTTGCGGGGAAAGTCAGGTGGGTATTCTGAAGGTGCAGATGCTGTTGCCTTCTGGATTCACACCTGTGGATGCTGCCTGCTTATGAAAGAAGGGGTGCTTCTGCATGGCAGTGGCCTGAACACAGAGATGACATAGGACAATGTGCTGTCTGCCATTTTATTTAAGGGACCAGAAAGCAAACTCATGAGCCACCGTCTTAAACATCACTAAACCTGTGTTGCCAACACTTCTATAAAATCTCATCAAATTATCTGACATTGCTCTTGCACCCACTAAACACTTAGACTTTTCAGTGTTTATTGGAAATTTCAGTATTTGAGACTCAGTTATCTTGTGCTTAAAAAGTAGGTTGGGAAAATATAAGTCATGGTTGTTAAGAACGTGGAATGCCTTTGCAAAGGCTGCCGTTGATTCCAGCCACCTCGTGATGGCCTTCACCTCCTGGCTCTTTGCAAAGTATTTTCTGAACGTCCATCCCACAAGTGAATAGTCACAGAGGTCTCCCAGATGAATTTACTTGTGAGATTAAAATATGATCATGGATCTGAGAATGTACTTTGAAAAATACTGATAGAGCTATGTGCTTAAGGAAAGATTTTTAGACAACTTAAGTCCTGTGTTCTTTGCTTCCCTAAGTGTAACATTTTTTAGAATACTTTGTTGCATTCTGGGATTTTTCTGGAAATTATATTCGATTAGGAGCATAACAAGCTAAGGGCTGACATAGCACCCTTCCTAACAGAGCCAATCATTTGTTGATTGTTTCCAATTAGCAGCTCCTCTGGGACCCTCTTTAGATTTTGATTTGCTCCCTGAGTGTCAATGATTATTCACAGCAACCCCCAGAGAGAAGGCAGAGAGAAAGAAGTCCTCACTAATGGTTTCAAAATTATTGAGAATCAAGGCTCCTTTTAGGTCAAAACACTTACTAGTTGTATTTTTAGCAATCATTGAAGAGAGGGAAAATGTTTTATGAATTCTGTAACATTTTCAAGTACATCTGAATTTTACAAATCTGGTTTAACAGAATGCCTACTCTCACTTCAAAAACAGTGCATAACCGATTTGATCAATTTTAACGCATTTTCTCATTTTACACTTTAACATTTGTAGTATCGGTGTGTTTTGAAAATTGATGATCTTAGTCATTGAGCCTATGATTTAATATCAGTGTTTATTTTCTAGCGGCACATAAATAATGGTGGGCTTTACAATCAAGGGTATCCTGAATTTGATGAAATACATCTTGGGCAGAAAGCTTAGTGTTTACTCAGCCCACAGGCCACACGTGGCAGCCTGATTTCCAGGCTCCCCAGAATCATTCCACTTCTCCCCAAGGATCTTCTCTGCCCCATAGGCTGGGACATTGCTTTGATGTACCCTATAATTTTTATTGACCAAGTTGTCCCTGGGTATAAAATGTAACAAAATAGATAGTCCTGCTCTCAGTGGGGATGTGTGCATCTGGCGGATTTTTCACTTGTTGCTGAGGAGACTCTTCAGTTTCAGGTTGGGTTGTGTAAACACCAAGCATGGTGCCTAAGTCCCAAGAAATACGTCCAGAGTTTCTCCCAATTCCAGCAAAGGCAGGGCTAGTGTTTAGATGGGTCTATGGCCAGAATGTCCTTACAGAACCCCCTATGAACCCAGCACAATGTTCCAAAAGGTATTAAACCAAGTAATAAACTGAATTCAAGACTTTACCATTTATTGAAGCATTTGAAGAATAGAATAATTTGTGAGAGCCCACTTAGAGGGTTCCAGAAATCTCCGAGGGGGAGTGGAAGATTATTTAAACTGAGATAAGCATCAGAGAGTTTGAGCCAGATGCTGAAGGATGGAGTTCAAGTCCACATCAAAGAAAATTCTGCCTGCATCCCATTAATGAGATGTGAACCATAATTTTAGAAGCACTGGTTAATTGAACATCCTCCATCTTCTGGGTCCCTTATGTTTATGATCTGGCATTCATGACCCTGTAGTCCCATTTTACAGTGGTTACATCCCTTTCCCAGGGTTTCAGAGCTTATAAATTACCCAGTATCTGGCCCACCTCAGAGTCTATGATTGTCATAAACCCCGAGACCCCCTGAGGAGGACAGGTAGGAGTCCAATAAGTAACAAGGACGGAGGCATTTCCAGAGGGAGAAAGGGAAGCAAAGGCTCACGTGCACCTGCTCGGCCGGTTTCTAACGCGTTGCCTTGGGCGAGTGAGTTAGCCCTTCTTAGCCTCAGTTTCCTCATAAAGTAGAGACACAATGGCTTGTCTTGCTTTATTCATCCACAGAGTAAACCTGATAATTAAAAAAAAAAGCACAGTACCAGGCAATGGTAGGCATCAACAAAACATAATCATCTATTACTGTCATTATTATACTTGCTGTGGTTAGTCTTCGAGTGGTTTTTAAGAAAACAAGCTGGAAAGTCCCGGAAGATGTCACCCAACTCCCCTTTCCAATACATCCTCTTATCTCCACACATCTCTTCTTGTCTCTGCAACCATTTCCAGATACGCTTCTAAGCCAATGAGTCCTGAGAAATCTCAACCAAGAAAGACTCTAAATATCCCTCAGGTGGTCTTTCCTTGTTGGATTTGGTTTCCGTTGGTTTTCTAATTGTCCGTTAGCTGCCAGGGTCCAGATATGAAAAGTAACCCTTCAGATAGAGATGAGAAAAAAAGAATTTTGTAGTTAGAGCTCCAAGCCCTCATCTCTCATCCCAGTTCTGGTATAAACTCCAGAACTGGCCCCCACACTTGCGGGCTGTCCCTATTACTCCTGTGGGGAGAACAAAAAGGGGAGTATCAGTCAGGGGAACGGAGGTCTCCGGGTCTGAATCTGTGCGCTCTGAGCTGTGACATCACCACACACTCTGCTGATCACAGATGGGCCCACAAGGCTGGTGTTTAAAAAAGGCCCTGGAGGCCAGGCGCGGTGGCTCAAGCCTGTAATCCCAGCACTGTGGGAGGCCGAGGCGGGTGGATCACGAGGTCAAGAGATCGAGACCATCCTGGTCAACATGGTGAAACCCTGTCTCTACTAAAAATACAAAAAATTAGCTGGGCATGGTGGCGCGTGCCTGTAATCCCAGCGACTCAGGAGGCTGAGGCAGGAGAATTGCCTGAACCCGGGAGGCGGAGGTTGCGGTGAGCCGAGATTGTGCCATTGCACTCCAGCCTGGGTAACAAGAGCGAAACTCCGTCTCAAAAAAAAAAGGCCCTGGAACAACTAAGGAGGAACTGACACGCTTGCCCGTGGGAATTTGGGCTAATGCATTTAGGCTAAATGAGTTTTATGATCTAGCTGTTATCCATTTCTTTTTAAAAATGACAGCAGCACCATTTGCAATAGCTAAGGAATGGAATCATCCTAAATATCCATCCAGAGATGAATGGATAAAGAAAATGTGGTATATAGTATATATACACAGTGGAATACTATTTAGCCATAAAAAAGAATGAAATCCTATCTTTTGCAGCAACATGAATTATCCTGGAGAACATGATGCTAAGAGAAATAAGCCAGGCAAAGACAGACACATATTGCATGTTCTTATTTAAATGTGGAAACTAGAAATTGAGCTCATAGATATAAAGAAAAAAAATACAGACTTATAAAGCATGGAAGAGACCCTTTCCCACCCCACTTCACAAGTATAGGAGACATTGCTTCCAGAGGAGGTCTGGGTTTCCTCTCACCTAGTGGATGACACTAGCGGCTGCCCATTCAAATAATGGGGAGGGGAGAGCTTCTTGAAAGCCCACGCGTCAGCTCCACTCTTATCAGTCACGAAGGAAAATAATATTTTAAAAAGAAATCTACAGTGTCAGGTCTTTTCTTAAAAAAAAAAAACGAAATCTAGCAACACCATTGTCCACAGCAGGATTACTCACAATAGCCAAAAGATAAATGCAACTCAAGTGTTTATCTATCAACCGATGAATGGATATGCAAAATGTGATATCTCCACACAATGGAATATTATACAGCCTTAAAAAGGAAGGAAGTTCTCACATGTTACAATATGAATGAACCTTGAGGACATCACACTAAGTGATATAAACCAGTCACAAAAGAACAAATACTGTATGATCCCACTTACTTGAGGTACCTAGAGCAATCAAATTCATAGAGACAGAGAATAGAAGGGTGGGTGCTAGGGGTGGAGAGGGGAAGTGAGGAGTTGTGGTCTAAGGGTTACAGAGTTTTGGTTTTGCAAGATAAAAATGTTCTAGAAATGAAAGGTGATGCTGGTTGCATAACTATGTGAATGTACCTTATGTCACTGAGTTGTGCATTTAAAATGGTTAAGATAAGGTTTTGTTATATATTTTAACACATAATGAAATAGACGATAATTCTTGTGCAGGCCTGCTCCTTTCTGCTCTGTTTTACCAGCTGCTCCAGCAAAGTCAACATTAACATGGAAGGACATCTGATCATTCTTTTTTTTTTTTTTTTTTTTTGAGAAGGAGTTTCACTCAAGTTACCCAGGCTGGAGTGCAATGGCGCGATCTCGGCTCACCGCAACCTCCGCCTCCTGGGTTCAGGCAATCCTCCTGCCTCAGCCTCCTGAGTAGCTGGGATTACAGGCACGCACCACCATGCCCAGCTAATTTTTTGTATTTTTAGTAGAGACGGGGTTTCACCACGTTGACCAGGATGGTCTCGATCTCTTGACCTCGTGATCCACCCGCCTCGGCCTCCCAAAGTGCTGGGATTACAGGCGTGAGCCACCGCGCCCGGCCGACATCTGATCATTCTAAAGAATAAAGGTTAGAACCCAGGGATTCAGATAAGAACTTTGCTACAAATTATTTATAAGACTCCA